TGGTCCCGATGTGGACGGACTACAGCATGTGTCGGACGGAGTCGCTCGCCGCAACGCAGTGCCCGTTCCTATCAACTGGATATGCTGTTCTGTTTTATACAGAACCGAAATAAACGTCTCGCGGATTACCTTTCGCTGTATGGTACGTACGCTTTATTTCAAGAGTATACGTTTCTCGCGAAGGTGACGGCAACCAAGCTACCAAGCGCTCAAGTTGCCGTCCCCGCCACGAATATAGAGGAGGAATTTTCGTCCCTTTTTCAAGCGCCACTACGTCGCGCTGCATGTGGATCAGTGATAGGCAGGAACGGGAGCAACTTTCTCCCTTCTGTAGGCGACAAGGCGGAAAATCGTTTTTTCCTCCATCTCTCCCCCTTTGTTTTTTAGAGTGCGGGTTCAAATCGCGTCAATAACTCTTTTTTTTTTTCTATTTGACTGCACTCCCACTAAGCATGTAGACAAGGCCATATAAGCTCTTTAAAACCATTGGGCGAGTGGTTCTGACTCACCAGTTCGTTGTTCATGACATCCGAAGAGCTCGTACATGTCCCAGGCTTATTTTACCAACTTCCGCCACGCCTCCAGCATCTGCCGTACACTCCGCGGAAAGTTGACAATATCTTCCCATGCCCGTCTGTTCGTTCGCCAGGTAACTGTGCTGCTGAATTTCCCTAGAATTTTTTGTTCTCGTTTTCCAACTGCTCTATACTCCGCGACAACTTTTCTTGGCAATGCAGTGGAAGGTACAGGCCCGCGTGCCCTCTCCCATTTTGAGCGTACGCAGGCTCTCCTCCTCCCCCATTTCCGGGGAGAGGAGGAGAGCCCGCGCACACTCAAAATGGGAGAGGGGACGCGGGCCTGTACCTTCCACTGCATTGCCAAGAAAGGTTGTCGCGGAATATAATTATTTCCATTTGTTGACCAAAGTCATTTTAGGTGTTTGCGTTAGAGAGAGGGTTTGCGATGTCGACGCCTGATTCATTTTTGCATTCGGTTGCGATCGTCTGCTATTCTAACTAAAATTCAACAAGTAATGTGCTAATATTACAAAACGATTGCTACAACAAAAAGTAAAGGGTAAAAATATACCTTTTATCACATTCCATGCAAGTAAAAGTATGATCTCTTTTATTTCGGTTTTACTACTTTCTCAGACGTTTGACTTGCTGCCTTGCCTGTAGGATTTCGCTCAATCAATGCATCCACAGCTGCTGTTCTGTTTGTTTTTTTTCGTTTTGCATATTTTGTAAAAGTCTTTTTTTTTTTTTAATTGTCACACCTGCAGTTTTTATTAGTACTAAACGGGCGTCTCCTGTTATTGAAAGGAGTCGTAGCAAGAGCGTTGTATATTTAAAAACACATAAAATTGTAGTTGCTGGGGAAAGGATGCTTGTTTCGGCTCCGTTTGTGTGAAAGCCATACTGATGCTGTTACCTTGGTTTCCTTTAAATGAACATTATGAAATGATTGTATTAGCATGTTAACTTGCCTCGATCTTTTTTTTTTTTTTTTCTTAGCGATGTTTCGATTGAACAGGTGGGACTAACAGTAATCACCGTGTAAGGCGCAATAGTGCAAGTGGATGATTCGTAAAAAGGATCACAGTTAAAAAGTAAGACGCGCGCAAAATACAAAAAAAAAAAGTTCCTAGCGCTATTTGAACCCAGAACTTTCACGCCGTGACGATACGTACCGGCGCTCTAACCTCTCGACCACAGTAGAAGTTTTTTTTTTGCTTTATTGCGTGGAAGGATAAACATAAACCACTTATTCACTGTTCACGGGCATGGTTCTATGTCATTTGTTAAGTCAAAATTCTTTGATATCTATGAGACTACTAAACAAAGGTAACCATTCCGGAACTACTTCTTGAATGTCATACACACTTTTGATACAGGTTACAAGGTCAATGAAATGTAAGCGTACAGTCTTTGGGTACAAATTCTCATTTCTAATGTCAACACGTGATTTCCACATGCTGTATAACGCTACAAGCATCACCTGATCGAAAGGAAAAGTATATTTAGATGACACAGGAAGAAAGACCATAGTAGAAGGCGCGAGACGCCGGCGCTGGCGGAGGTATATAAATATTCTGCCACCGCTTTCATCTCGAGTGTTTTTTTCTTTGTTTTGGCTCATTTTCACTCTTCCTGGCCGTAACTTTATCTGCCGCTCCTACAGTGTAAGGAGGCGGTCAATTGGACTCCAGTTGAAAGTTCCTGCAGTCAGTTTCTGCAAGCGAAATTAGGCTTTTCTGCTTGAAGCGATACGGATTTCTCCACCATTAAACAGGGACGCTAGGTACTTCCTTGTCCCCATAGAGCTAATCATGTGACAGAAAAATCCCTCTTGGCCGCAGCAGCAGCCGCGGCCGCAAGGTCAGCAAACCGGCCTGGGGTTACATCCGCTACGAAGTCACCGAAGTAGTGTGGAACATATAGCTCTTCTGGGGCTCACGTTAGGGACAGACGCACTGTGCCTATCGTCAGGCACCCGTCACTACCTCGAGGTGCGCGAGAAAGTTCTGGGCAGTTAAGTACTAAGTGCTAGCTAAGCAGCACCGAAAGAGGACCTGGAAGAGCACATGGGCTTGTCCAGTTTTGACACCAGGACCCGTTTGCTGGAAGCCAGTTAGCTTTAACCGTGGTAGTAAGTTGACCGCATTTCTCTACTAGGTATGTACAAGTACCTAGTAGGGATAAAATTAAATATCGCCTACTTCGACTCTAATGGAAATTGGAGCGCGGTCTAATTCGGAGTGCCATAAATTTCCGGTCAATCAAGTCAAGACAATCCCCTAGGATTCCAAAGGCGTTGCCATGTTGATAATTACCGCGACCCTTTAGGCTTAGGAATGGCAACAATCGAAAGACGATCTAGAAATACGGTGAGATAATTGCTCATGCTCTGCGATGTCAGTGATGTAAGGGAAAGCGAAAGCCTCCTGCACCATTCATTGCTAGAAAACGTGCCTGATAGTGCAGCCAGTGCTACATATTTGTTCCAGAGCGAGCGACGCTCGTCCGGAGGGGCACCGCGATGTTTCCCTTCCCCGCCATCCCTATACTCCGCTGGTCACGTGATCTAAAATTCCCCCTCGTGTGGTAATACGGTTAACTTTCTGGCGCGGTTAAAGTTAACCAGCTTCGCGGAAACGGGCCCAGGGAGGCCCGAACCAAGCTGGGCTTTGAGTGAAGCCTAAGCATGATGCATAAATAGGGACCAGACAGGCCTTCTTTAAGTCGCAAAAAGGTGCCTGCCGCATATTGTAGAGCAGCAGGAGGTAGAACTTAGGACGCTGTTTTTCCTCGAAATGAGCTCCATTCGCTTTCCATGGTCCCGGGTGTTGTTTGGGTCTTGAGAAGTGACAGCCCCGACACGTTCTTTCCCACAGCTACCACGACCGATGTCACAGACAGCACCAAGAATGAAAGAACGCATGAGTAAGAGCTATTAGTGAGTTTTAGTATTGCGTATACGAGTGAACGCAAGCCCTGTGCGTTTGCGTTAACGTTGCGTGTTTCACACTGCGCGCACGGCGGAGCCCAAACTACGGCCTTGGAGTGGCGCATTGCAACTTCGCGCAAGCGCAGCGTGGAGAACACAACGCTAAGGCAAAAGCACAGCACTTTTGCTTAATCGCATACGCAATACTAAAACTCACTACTAACGGCGCTTACGTTTTCTGCTTTGATTGGGGAAGCGGCACACACTTGTGGTGATAGCTGGGAACTGGCAATTGGGCAGGCATTATACCCTAGGCCATGCACAAATATGTTGTATAAGAAATTCGTTTCAGACATTTATTTATTTTGTTTATTTATTTCGGGCTACCCCTCAGCGCTCGAAGGCATTGTTGCAGGGGGGGGGGGGGGGGTACATAGTTGTGAAGGTAGAAATACACTCGCGCATATGTACCAAAAAAAAAAACAAGAAAAACGCAAGCACGCAGGAAAACACACTTGAACAAAAGTAAGCCCAGAATATGATAAAAGAAACATCGGTTACTCGCATTCCAGGCACGTGCCAGATAAAAATATCAGCTGAGGAAAATATGCGCTAACAGCAAAAATAAATAACTCTCGCATGACGCTTGACACAGGAGTAAAAAAGAACACACACACAGATGTAGTTTTATCAACTTTGTTTCTTTTTGTTCTTATTCCGAAAATCTTTGTTTTTAATCCGAAAATGCGTACAGACAAATTCCCTCATGAGTGACCAAATCGGCAGCGCACGTAGCTGCCACGCGAATGCCCATGGCTTCAAACCCAGCCGGCTAAGTTTTTTTTGTTTTTTTTTCTTTCACTTTTTGCTGCAGTCTTTTTATGCTCCAGTTGATTTTCTGCAGTTATCGTGCTCTAGTTTATAACCTTCCTAAGCGCAAACGTGTCTACGCATTCCCAGCGCCTATCGTGAAGGCGAAAAATGCCAGGTTCTCTGAGCGTACGCCTAGTCGACTTCTGTAAAATGTCAGACACTCAGCATGCGTGCCCAGCTCAGTGGCATGGTACCTTTTGCTGTGTCACTGTGCTACCTCAAAGCAGCTGCAGCGTGAAGCAGCTAGCATCTATCTCGAAACAGCTGTAGCGCGCTGCTTTGATGTAGGCGCTTTTCCGTCGGCGCCGCAGATTGTACGCCGTGCCACTTTTTGTTGCAGGCACAACGTCGCCTCGTGAAACTTGTATTGATTGCTTTACATCCGCCTGTTTTTTTATATTCGTGACACTATAAGGTGGTATAGTTAACAAACGATGAAAAACCGCTGCGAACGCTCAAATAAATCCTTGGTGGACATGCTGAAGACCCAATCTTGTAGCTTTTTCAGGCGTGGTCTCCAAGCTCTAAAACCCTCTTGTTAAATCCGACTCGTGCCGGACGGTTTTGCCATACAATGTTATGTATAGTATGTTAGTTTATTATCCCTAAGTGTTTTATGTCATTGTTGTTTTTTGTGTTTTTTTTTTTTTTTTTTGTTAATTGCAGGTTTTGCTGGAATGGCCGATACAGAATTCGAAGACGTCATCGAAAGCATCGGTGGCTTCGGCAGGTTCCAGAAGACATTATTATGGCTTTACTTGGCACCGGTGTACCTGTTAGTTCCAGGATACTTCTTTGGCCTCATCTTTATGTTGTCGGTGCCTGAACACTCTTGCGTTCTCCCGAGTGCTATGAAGACCTTGAACCTAACAGAAAGCAAAGCTGCATATCTCCGGGACCTTGTAGTAAGCAGCGACAACTGCTACCTGTCCCTGTCCGCTTTCAACGCCAGCTTCATTCAAGATTACCTTCGAAAGGCTGAGGATGAGAACCAAACAACGCCGGCATTACGTGACAAGCGGAGGGTACCCTGTACGCAATTTACGTACGACGACACAGACTACGCCAGCACCGCTGGAACGAAGGTTCGAATTTTTCGGAAACTCTTCCACCGCGTGAGCCAAATGAATTTCTGGCCCTTTTAACTAACCGTATAAATCGTCTTCTTAACATATCAAGCCAAATTTTGCTTCATAAGTGGTCACAGACAGGGCACTTCAGGCATCAACATTTGAAATCACAACTTACCTGCGTAATAAGTAAAAATGTAAGAACATTGTTTTGCGACCTACAGCGTCCGTCTGCTAACAAGAAACGTCTGATTGGCACAAAAGTCGACAGGTAGATCCTGATAAGAAAGGGCACATACACTGATCTACGATAGCAGACGATGTATTTGAGTCAAATGCGGCTCAGGCCCATTTGGCGTGGTGCATAATTTGATTATGCACTATACCAACATTTGCAAGTAAGTTTCATTGTCGGGTTATTTTTTTATATTTTGTTTCGCGGAAAGTTCCGCGTGGGGGGGCAGAGATAAAGGCTTGGTGCCTGACGGGGCGCAGTGGCAAATACATTATACAACAAAATGCGCCATTTACCAAGCCGATCTGTTAGAAGAAAATAGACCGAAACATTTGTGAAACATTTTAGAAATATGTAATCGAAATTAGAGTTTCATATACCATGAAAAAAAAATAAAAGACACTGATCATCGAAAAGGACCAGGAACAAAGACATACGCTTTCGTTGTGGAATACAAGAAATACAAGTATACAATACATCACACTAAAATCAGCCACAACACAGTGGTATTAATAAAATAGCCTATAAAGGATTTCCTCTCACACTTAAACATCAAGAAACAAGGAATGGAAATACGCACAAAAATGGATGACATATTTATAACACTCATGAAGTACACAAAAACTAACAAAGATGAAAAGGCAATTTCACTTGTCACGAGCATCCTTCTACAAGCACTTTGAAAGCTATCAAAAGGTTGATAGAAATCTACGGATATACCTTTACTATTTATTGTTTAATTTATCAAGAAATTTAGACTTTGTCGGCCATAGTTAGTTCTTATTGCCGGCATCTTTCTTATTGGGTTTCGAATAATGTTCGTGCTCAGATTGTATGTTGGTGCAGTGTGGAGCTTGTATCTGTGTATCAATTGTAATAGTTTGAAATCAAATACTTGATCTGCTTTTAGCATATTATATTTATTAAAAAGTGGCTGCATGCTTAAATTTCTTCTGTCTCCTCTATAATTTTCATACATACGCAAGATTTTCGTTTGCAAGACAATTAGTTTGTTGCTATTAGTTTGTGAATAGTTCCCCGAACCAAGATGCCCTAGCTCATTTTTGAGTAAAATAGGGATTAGTATAATGTTTGTTTAAACCAGGTAGGTAGTAAATTGTGTACTTTGTATATGCTTTCAGTAACTCGGGACAGTTCAGCCTTGAGGATATTAACGTAAGTTGACCAAGAGAGGTCCTCGTGTACCACACGCCCAAAAATGTTTGCTCTGAGCGTGATCCAGAAACGTACCTTTAAATGTTATGTTGATAGAACTCTGATCGCGTTTGTTTATCGGCTTAAAAGTAACTTATTTTGTTTTACTGGTATTTAGACCTAATCGATTTATCTCTAACCGTTTTGAGAGTTTTAAAAGATAATCATTGGCTAATTTCTCTACGATCTGTTTTGTCTCACCAGCAAAAAATACATTTGTGTCGTCTGCGTACATTATTACCTGAGGGGAACCAGGCATTTCCGTTATATCGTTTATATAGACAAGGAATAGCAGACGCCCTAGAATAAAGCCTTGGGGAACGCCATGTTTTATGTTCATTTTGCTAGATGACTCATTACTTAAGCATACATATTTGTAGCGTTCATTTAGATAGCTTTTAATTAATTTTAGCCCTATTCCTCGTATACGGTACATATTAAGTTTTTTTTTTTAAGTAAAACATTGTGTTGTTTAGTGTCGAACGATCTTTCTAAGCCCAAAAACAATTCCAGTGCTACCAACTTGTAATCAATGTTTTCAGCAATTTTACCTTTTATGTCGATGAGCGCTGATTCTGTAGACTTTTCCTTCTGGAAACCATATTGAGCAGGAGTTATTATATGATATATATTTTTTTAACTGTTATCCTGTCGTTGAGTCAAAAATCTGGGAGAAAACCGGGAGTACTGAAATGGGCCTATAATTATTTATTGAGGTCTATCCGCCACCCTCGTAGACAGGAGTTACTTTCGTGATGTTTAATTCATAAGGAAAATTACCGCACTCAAGCATCATATTTATTATGTGGGATAATAGAGGACCTATTACCTTCGCGGTGTACTTAATTGGTAGCACTTTTACTTCATTGTCATCAGCTGCAACATCATTCTTTAGACTACCCATTATCTTATCAATCTTAGTTGCATGGTGTCGTTGGAAAAAGCATGATAGATTCTATTTGATTTCCTGCCACCATGCAGTTATTTCAGCTTGCATTTTTTTCCTATGCACGTGCCTATGCTGACAAAATGCCGATTCGTTTTGTCACCACGTGCTGTGCCGACGACACTTTTGTTATTTATGAAGATTTTCTTCACGCTGCTGCGTATTTGCTTCCTGCTCGTTAGATAGTTAATCGTATCCCGTACTTCCTTGTCGTCATTGGGAATACGCAGAAATTTATTTTGATAATATTCACACTTTGCTGTTTTTAAGTCGGAGTTCAATTTGTTTCTAAACTTTTTGAAGTCATCCAATGGAGCGGGATCACGACTTTTTATAAAAGCATGATCTATGCAGTTTTTTTCTCGTATTCTTTTATACAGTTTGCCAGTTATCCACGGTTTTAAATCTTTCTAGGCCCATGCTTACTTTCCCAGAGAGGAAGAGCAGCATCATAACAATGTTTTAGTTTCGTCAAGAAGCTTTAATAGGCCATTATAGGATTGCATTCTCTATAAACGTCGACTCAACTTTCCCGCTCTATTAGGCAGTCAAAAGTACTAAGCGTTTCTTCATTTATTACGCGCTACCAAAACTTTTTCATACCACAATTTAGTTTACCATTTGTAAAAGATCTTACACAGAATATGGGTAGATGGTCACTAATATCGCGTAAGAAATTCCACACTCAGAGACTTCAAAATATTCCGAGATTCCCAGCCTTATTTTAATACTTCTCACGTTTAGATGTATTGTTGAAAACTGTCCATCCGCTCCTTTATACTTTTTAATTGAAAGCTTAACAATCAAAGCAGTCACACTCTGGCTGAAATTCTTCCATCATCATGTCTTTGTGTGTTATCTCAGGGATTGGTTACGTTTCAGTTCGTTATTTTTGCACATCAGTCATGCCAGCGATTCTGAGAACACCTGACGTTTCATCGGTTCATCATCGATACATCAATTGCCGCCGTCATCCCTTGGCAGTTGCTTCTCCCAGACGTCTTTCCTTTGCAGAGGACCGCCATTGGTAGCTAATTCACGCTATTATTTTTTTTATTATTATTTACCCATTCTTGACCATTTTTTAATCGTGATGCAGACTATCTATTTATTCATAAATACTACATGCTTATATTTGGAAATATGGTAGGAGCGAAAAACCACTTCCAATATACAGGAAACAGCAGTCCAACAGCCGACCGTGCCAAAAAATGAACAATGGGCTCTCATGTATATACACCTGGAAGCATAAATACAAATGTCAACCACGCCAAGCCATATATAGCCTATAACAGAATGCATAATATTCTTCCACGTCTGTACGAAATAATATCTCGATATGTTATATGTAAGCAGGGTGTAAGATAGACAGGTGGGGAAACAAGAGCCAAATGAGCGACCGGATTGTGTCCCCGTCGGTTTTCTCTTTTTTCTGTGGCGCCATCTATGTGGAGCACCGCGAACTCTCACTCCGGGTTGGCGACCGGTGGCGACCGGCTAAACTGACGGAGATGAGTTCTCCCGGATTTTGAATCGACGACTGTCGTGCTCTCGGTTTATTTTGCGCACTCTCTCATAAAGTTCCATGCAAATCCGATTCCAATTTTTTTACTCTCGCCGCAGCGCCATCTGTCGCAAATCGGGGGTACCCGCAAGCAGACGAGTACACAATCCGGTCACGGCGCTGCGGTAGGCTTCTATTGGCCGTTTCCCCACCTGTCTATCTTACACCTTGTAGGTAAGGCTAAGAATACTATGGTTACTCCAATGCTTTTTGTGCCCTGTTTATGAACAAAACACCTACTCGCGGTCTTTGTCTCAAATCAGGCGTCCAGCCGAAAACTGAAATGCTAACTGAGCCCCATAAATGACGATTGTCAGTAAATTTACGATGCAATAAAAATCTGCAGTTTGGGAGGATTATTGACGCGTGATACATACCGCATGCTCTTTTGCAGCCCAAATTGAATTTTATTCTGTGTACGTTCGATTTCTTTGCGCCATCATTATGAATAGTTTCGATGTGTAGAGGAAGAGGAAGAGGAAGGAAGAGGCGCAAAACTTCTTTATAAGAGTAACAATGGAAATATTCGAGTGATTCCCTAAATCAAATGGCTAATACATTTTTTTACGAAGAAATTCTAATTGAGCAAATGTAACCACTCAGTTAATTAAAGACATACTGCAACCGAACATGTGCCGCGTAAGTTCTTGATACGGTCTATTTAACCACTGCCCAAATATGGGTCAATTCTTGTCAAAAGAATGGGAGAAACAATCGATGAACGACACTCTGGCACTTCCTTGTCCCCCATCGACCTCAGGAACGGGACCGATCAGGACCTTTCACCCTGTAGTCATTTGCTTACGCTTGACGGAACTGCAAGGCAGCTTACCTCGACATACGACAGCGAGTTGCCAGTACCGCAACCAAGTATTGTGTAACTTGGTTGCTGCGGTAACATGCATCTTTATCTCGACGTTCTACGTTCCAAACGTAATCCAACAAACGCGTGCGAATGTTGTTCTTATAGTTGTAATGACTAAAACCATCTCGGTCGTCATCCAGACATCTCCGAGCTGAGTCACTCGGTCTTTCTTTTAATCTGGCAGACTAATTACACCGGCCATAATAAGTGACTTCTCATCATTAAATGTATCTGGCGTTTGTCTTTATTTCTTCTTTCAGTGGGACTTCGTGTGCGACCGGGATCACTTGCCCAGCCTTGTGTTCACCATGAGCAGCGTTGGTTGCACAGTCGGAGCTCTTCTATTTGGCATTCTGTCAGACAAGTGAGTAAACATATGATTGCAATTTTTTTGTTTGCTCGATCTCACGAAGCTCGTTTTTTTTTCAGCAGCAAGTTTCGCGTGCTTTTTAGAAACTGTTGGTCAGACTTTTCTCACAATACGATACAATCATCATTTATTTCGTAATAAAATATGTTACAATGTCATTCTTACAGTGAACTTCCAGCACATACGGCATTCATGCACGTTCAAAATCGCTTTGCCGAAAGTGAGACGGGAGACATGCGATCTGATCTGCCGAAGCCAGGCTTGCGGCACCAACAACTTGCGCTAGATTGGTCAATCGGTTGAAACACTGTCTAATAGACCAAAATCACTAAGCATTCGGCGCGTGCGTGATGCCGCCATAAGTTTAGTTCACGCGAGGCAGACGGCCGTGCACGCGAGGGCTCGTGCCGTCTCGTGCTCCACTCGCGCAAAGCTCCAGCGGGGGTGTCGCACGCGCAGAAAGACAAGTTCCCTCAATGCATTGCGGCAGCGGTGGGGTAGTCAAAATGGCTTGTGAGGTCGCTCTACTCTGTTCAGCTTATTGTACACCAGGGGTGTTCTTTTTGAAAGGGCTTTGTATTATCTAGACTGAAATCCGTAGTCCAGCAGACTCACCGGAAAATGTAAGCTCATTGTGCTGTGAACTTCTCTTTTATTTATTTATTTATTTGCTTTACCCTCAGGGCCCGAAGGCATTACAGAGGGGGAGAGCAAAGTTGGGATCAAAACACTGTAATGTATGGATATTCACACTCAATAAAAAAAAATGATTGGTTAGAGCAGACCTAAAAAGCACACTCTCGGTTATGGATGCAATAGGTCCGGAAAGGTGGTTCCAGTCGAGGGATGTCCGAGGAAGGAAAGAAAATTGGAATGTAGATGTGATAGCGACTGGCATCTCAACTTTGGGCTGATGATCGTGACGAGCAGAAATATAAAAGGGACGAGTGATTAATTTGTCGCGAAGCACAAAGTTATGAAAATAAATTTTGTGAAATAAAGAGAGGCGTGAAAGCTTACGTCGCAGGAAGAGGGGCGGAAGTGACAAAGTAGTTTTCATAGAAGTTACGCTAGATGTATTATGATAATTAGAAAGAATAAAACGAGCGGATCTATTTTGAATGCCCTCCAACGCGGTGATGAGAATTGCCTGTCCGGGATCCCAGACAGAGTCTCCATATTCTAACTTCGGTCGAACTAGAGTTGTATAAAGAATTAGCTTGAGGGAAACAGGTGCCAATGAAAAGTTCCGCCTGAGGTAGCCTAACATGCGGTTAGCTTTAGATGTGAAATACTGTACATGTGTTTTCCATGAGAGATTAGAAGTTATCTGTACACCTCAATATTTGTAAGAAGATACCGTGTCAAGCTGGGCCTGATTGAGAAACTAGTTCCGAGTTTCACGTGACTGCCGAGATACACGCATGGACTTACATTTGTTAGTATTAAGCGTCATAGACCATACGTCACACCACTGGTAGATAGCGCTAATGTCAGACTTAAGTATGATGTTATCGTGATCATTATGTATCTCACGGTAAATCACAGAGGCGTCAGCAAATAAACAAATAGACGAGGAAACATTAAGAGGGAGGTCGCTAATATATATTAGAAAAAGTAAAGGTCCTAAGACAGATCCTTGGGGAACCCCAGAGGCCACAGACGAAAAGGAAGATTTGCTATTATTTACTGTAACAAATTGTGACCGAAATGATAGAAAAGATTGAATCCATGCAAGAAAATTAGCATCTATGTTAAGTTTGGACAGTTTCAGAAGAAGTAGTTTATGAGATACTTTATCGAACGCTTTGGAGAAATCTAGGAAAATGCAGTCTGCCTGGGATCCTCGGTCCAGGATGCAGTGAAAATCATGTGTGAATGATACAAGCTGTGTCTTGCATGAAAATGTTTTTCGAAATCCATGTTGGGATGTACAGAAGAAGTTGTTAAATTCTAAGAAATTTGCGAGGTTGGAAAATATTATATGCTCAAGGAGTTTGCAAGGAACAGTGGTTATAGAGATTGGGCGATAATTTAAAGGGGAATGTTTGTCACCAGTCTTGTGAATGGGAACCACCTTCCCCACCTTCCAATCCAAAGGGAGAGCATGATCTCTAATCGACTGATCAAAAAGTTTAGTTAAAATGATAGAAAAGTAATGCTTAGTATTTTTCAAAAACTTCGAATTAACACCGTCCACTCCCGCTGAAGACGACAATCTTAATGTTTCAATGACATGATCGACACCAGCACAGTCAAGCGAGATGGGGTCCATCGGCAAGTACTCTGAAATGTCTAAGAGACGACACTCCGTGCTTTTCTCACTAGAAAAGGATTGAAGAAAAACTCGTTCAATACATTCGCACACACTTCGATTGGCATAACATCCCCACTTTCATTTTTTAGACTAACAGAAAAATCTGTTTTTTTATTCATGATGTTCCAGAATTGTTTAGGTTTTTTTATTAACATATCGGGTATCCAGCCTATACTTCAGTAAATGGTATAGAAAAATACAGTAATGTACATGACCGTCAGTGCTAACGCCATTTCGTTCAAAAGATCTAGGGGCTCCGGTTCACATTACGATGTATCGCAGCGGATGCTACAAGTCGCCGGAGCCAAGCTATAAGCATTTCAGGTGACCTCCTGGTTGCAGAGACCGACGCACAGAGTGTGAAGTCACATGATGCGTGGGAAGCACCGAATTGGCTAGAGGGTGACCTGTAGTGTCCATTGCGGCACATCGTGAGGTGAAATGAAGTTTAGTGTGCCATCAAACACTAATATGCAGCACTAAATTGAGTAGAACTATTCGATGATATGCGCTTTTCTGTGAGTGATCTGAGATAACATGTCAATCATGTGCTGAAGCTAAATATAGCGCACAGTGTACGCACGATGTTTCCACAGTCTCGGAGCTAACGGGTAAAGTAGTAAGAATAAGAAAATTGCTGAGCAGAATTATAGACGAGGCTCGTACGTTTTTGGTTGTGCTTTTTCATACATTTTGAGCAGAAAGGCTTACGTATAGCGCCACGCAAATGCTTATCGCTTGTCCGCTACAGGTGCACCTATACAATAGCTTGTCTCAAAGCAGCCAGTTGCGCTAGAGTCCTGAGAACAAAGTGTATGTGTTTCGAATTTTGTTGCAGATGACTAACTTTACGTGTGCCACCGTCATTTTCTAGTTTTTGTTTTTTAAGTAGCTCAGAGCAAGCACCATTTCACCGCGCGCAAAGTGGAGAACGCCACGCAAGGGGCGTTGTTTATAAAAAAAACAGCCTTATTTTTGAGTAAACGCAGCATCTCCCCTAATTTAAGAGTTCCACTTTACTAGGTAATATTAGGAGGCTGTTAGGAATGCGCTTTGGCCGGGCCTACAATGCTCGGATGTGTAATAAAAAAGAAAAGGAGTTCCATTATCTTTTTTTTTTTTTTTTTTTTTTTTAACAAAGTGCCACTGGCCTAGGTAGGCTTAGCACAGCCAGATAAACTACTTCTGCGAACGCGTATTTCAAATCGTGGGAGCCTGTACATCAACAGATTAGGAAAGTGAGTAAGTCCTAACCAAAGAGCGGCAAACAGTGAGAGTTGCCTTAAAGATGTTTTCGACTGTAGCATCTTGCCCGTTTCAGGATTGGCCGGAGGTACACCTTCTTTGCGCTCGTGCTCGTCGCTGCAGTGTTCGGATTATCTTCCATCATGCCGACACACTTCTTTGCATTCATCGTCCTGCGAGCCATACACGCCAGCATCGAGCCGCAAATATTTCAGCTGCCCCACATCATGCGTGAGACTATTTCATCGTTTACACTTTTCGCAACTCCAACACCCTACGGATGGCGGGGCAGTAGTTCCAAGATGGCGGAAGTGACGGGGATAGATTCTCCAGGATGTCCCGTGCGCTTTGTCACTAATCCTGATCGATAAGCAGTAATGAAGTTACTTGGCAATAAATACGACAGCGATGGACCTTATCTGAGCCGAGGCGCATGCTCTGGTGCTAGCTAGAGTTCCTGTATAGGCCCCTACGGGAATTAGAGTTGCAAGTCTATTTTCCGCGCGCCGCAGAGCCGCTATTCGCCGAGATCCGATCACGTGAGGAGCCGGGTCAAGTGCCGTGCAGGAGAGTAGACGTTGCGCGTGCCCCGGCATACGTTCCCCTGCTTTTGAGCGCGCCGTGCGACTCGGACGCGCGGCGCCGTTATTCGCCGAATTCAGTCACGTGAGGGGCAGGATCAACATTTCGTGCAGGGAAGACGGCGCTACAGGGATGAACGCGCAACTCAGGCTCCCGTAGGGATCCTATACAGGAACTCTAGTGCTAGCTATCGCCTAGGGCCATCTACATGCTTGTATTTGAACTATTCGTATTGTTTAGCTCACGCCCTCTATTTTAGGCTACAAGATGTACTTTTCTGCAAATAGAGCTTGTGTACTCAGTAACGTTGTAGTTACGATCCTGTCCAGTTCGAAAACGGCTAAAACGGCAACACTGCCGGCTAGCGAAAAGCTGTGTGCCTTGTCACACTGCACGCAAGCAAACGAATGAAGATTCACGAAAGTCCTGATCTTTTGCAATGGAGAAAAGATTCCTTTCTGCAGATACGAGCAATTCAGCGTTTTCAACGCCCACACACAAAAGAAAAAGTGCAAAAGGTCTTTTTTTTTTCTTTTTTTTTTTAGCGTTTACTAGATAGCGTTGTCTGCATCAGAGCTTCTGGTTACGCTTGTCTTCTGTCTTAATCCCACAAATGACAGGTCTCTTCTCCAGAAGAGACCTATCAGTAAGTTGATAGCGCAGTAATAAGTTGTGACAACTTATGACTGCGCAGTTTAAGATGCATGCCCCATTTAGAGCTTCAGATCATGTGCCTGGGCTCGGATAAGGTCCATCACCGCCGCGCTGTGCCGTGAAGTTGCCGCATGGAACCACTCCGCAATGTGTCGCGGGAGCTCAACATCAAAAAACATTTTCTCGCTTAAAAAAAAAAAAAAAAAAATATTACTTTGTTTAAATTTTATAAATCACAAGTTCATATGGCGCTCTATCGCTTGAGTGGTCTGGCATATTTTTACTTAGACCACCTCACTGCAAAAGTTGCAGTTTAATTTAAACCAAAATGCCGTTCTTGAGCAACTTTACGCTTTAATATAACAAAAAAACTTTTTTTTTTCTACGGTAGGAAGCTATTTCATACAACAAGTATATCTACAATAGATGCGGAAAACACTCTTAGCACAAGTATACAAACTCCGAAATTGAAACAAAAAACAAATCTCAAAAACGGCACACTTTCAGCATTTTGTCTTCAATTAGAAACAACAAAAAAAGAACACTATATCATTTAAAATCGGACTCAAATGAAACAATAATGCCAGTAGAATTGGACAGAAAAAATTGTGCGTTGAAAACTAAAGATTTGCACTTTTGGCAGTTTGTTTACTTGAGTCTAGTTTCGCGCCTCTTCGGGAAATTCAAACGGCACTAGCGCGGCCATCAATTTTTTTGTGGACGAAAATATTTAGGCAAGTGGCTATTCAACAGATAAGGAACCCCTGTGATTTTTTTCGAAAGAATCGGTGATGGTCGAGCGTCACGCCTGGGACGTTTGGCATGGAATGACCGTATTGCGTATAAGAGCAAACGCAAGCACCCGTGCGTTTGAGTTCGCGTTGCGTGCTCGACTCTGCGCACGCAACGCAGCGCGCTATGCGTACGTACGCTCGCTATAAATTTTTGAGCGGTTACGCAGCGGTCCCCTATGTGTCCCCTTCACGTTGCCACCGTCGTGCGCGTCTGGGAAAGGGCGAGACTTTCCCAGACTGAAAAATAGAAGCCCTACTTCGAACTTATGGCCGTAGAGTTTTAAACGAAAAATACAAAGCACGTTCACAGCCGCCGCCCAGAAAGGTATTCAGATTATTTGGGAAACGATGGGATTTACGACATCGAATAGATCTCTTCTAGAATCGAAGGGATACAAGCGGCGTAATGCCGCGCCAAGCAGCTTGGTATACTGTTGTCCTCTATGTTTCGGTTTTGATTCGCCAAGCTCACTTCACGACATCCCGTCACGACCAAATACAATGCTTGCATGATCGAGTAGACGACTCTCTTAAATTTGTAACACTTTAGGTGTTACCTATTGATACGGGGCGCTTCAATCTCCTCGTTAAGAGGTTTTTCATGGCCGCTGGAGATTCCTGTTTCTACGGGGACTCTCACAAAGAAGAATGGGTGCAATGCAAGTGGGCGCTGACTTTATTTTTATGCAATGCTGAGATACACTCAGCACTGCAGGTCAACGGTGCGATTAAAACCAAAACCATAGCCACTCCCCTTCATGGCCTCCCAGGTACCGTAATGCAACTCGCGGAGTGTTGTTTCCTGGGATTTTTTGAAGTAGTCTATTGGCTTGACAGAATGCGGGCCTTTGAGTTTTTGGAGAAGTTTGCATACGCACATCTAGATGGCGCTACAAGTACTTACGAATGCGTTTGCGTTTCGCTGTACTAAAAGTGCTAGATTAACGCACTCCGCAGCGTTCCGCTAAGAGCTTGCATGAGTCTTACACGGGTGTACGCAAAGATCTTTACGCTATTCTAGAACTCTCTATTGTAAACTGACATTCGAACGTAAAGATTAGACTTGCAGTTATATTTTGTATATAGTGTGCATATTACACGCATGAATGCCAGGAGTGTGAGAGTGTCCTTTAGCATTGAGTAGCGAAGCATCTTCTCAAGCCTGCATGCCGTGACATTCCTTTCCGCTATGAAGGCTATAGGAGTGATGATGCGCTATTCAATTTGAACAATTCTTACATTCCTAATAAATATATGGTATTATTGCACCGGTCCCATTAAAAAAAAACTCATGGCATGTTTTATCATTTTCTAAACCATTGGTAGCCTATAACATTCCAGAATAATTCGATAAGATACTCAGGAACCTATCGTTTGCGAAGAACTATGTCATTGTTACACTGACATTTAGAGGCTGTGGCCGGTTTGACGGTAATCTCTCTTATTGTGCTATGTGGTTTAAAAGAAAGCTATTAAAGAATTATTGTGAAGGTCAGATTTATACTCTACTTCGGAGAGTCGGGGGGGGGGGGGGGGGGGGGGGGTTATGGTGCTCAACTAACAAAGGGCGCACTGAGATGGTCCTATCTTCAAGAATCCTGTACATCACGTTCCTTACCCACCCAGTTCTGGAGCTGGTGGGCCCCAGCGAGAGGACCCTGGTTCTGGGTGTTGTCTGCATTGCCTGGACTCTTGGGCTCTGCCTCCTGCCGTTCGTGGCCTATATAGCGAGGTCTTGGTTCACTCTCGGCCTCATATACTCGGCCTGCGCTACAGCTAACTTGCTCTATTATAAGTAAGTACTTCTGCGGACTGTTCCCCCAGAGTTCTTACCTTACCCAGTCTCTATTCTAAGCGAAAACATCTGAGCGTCGAGGTTATCCCGCAGACCAAAATTTGAATCACATCGCGCTTTATATTTTATTGAACAGTTTTACGAAGGCAAACTTCTTTGTTTTTTTTTGTTGATCTGCAAAGCACCCGAAGTTTGCCGCAGCTTTATATTCTGAAATTTACTCAAAAACGACCCCAAAACGAGGCGCCTCTTGTTGTCGTTGTCCTTCCTTTTTCTCTGCTTTTTAGCGCTTTTAACACACCTTCGGAGCACGTGTAGCGATAGTTCGTGCTGCAGAACCCAGAGATCCTGGGTGTAATTCCCATCACTGCCTGTTTCGATTTGGATTTCTTATTCATGAATCGGTAACAGTCTCGCCATACTCTGGCACACTAAACTCGAGCTGTCTAAAGAACGAAAGATTATATTTAACCAAGTAGTCAAATTTGTCTTGCCTAAAACGAGATTCCACGGCTTTGCAAAAGTGGTGGAATATTGTTCGTTATTTTATTTTTTCTTGTCCCAGGGTTTACAGTATGTTTTCTAATAGCCGCGTCCCACTAGAGCGATAAACAGCAACCAACGACAGCGACATACGACAACGAGCGACAAACGTTACTGACAGGTAGTCGGTTTGTCGAAGTCCGCCGTCCCACCTGGCGGACGCGACGCAGAACACGGGGAAAGGAAACTTGTTTCCTAGTGGGGCTAGAGTTGTGAACAAAACACTTCAAAATACGCAGAACGACAGAGTCTGGCGACGCGGTTTTCGCGTTTTCCTCTTTGGGCGTAAAACGCGCCGACAAACGCGGTTAAAATGAAGACGATTACTTTATTTCTTGATTAGTCTTAGTTTGCCGTTGCCGACTTTCCGCTAGCAGTCGTGACAATTGACATCAAACTTTTTCGAAACTAGCAAATCATTCCTTTTTCTTTTTTTTTTTTTTTTTTTTTTGAGGGGGGGGGGGGGGGGTTGTTCGAGGCATTTTTGGCGATAGCCACAAATTTTTACGTCGATCCTGAATATGTTTAAAACTTGAATTCCAGATTATCAAAAGCAGGTTTTTTTTTTTTTTTTTGTGTGTGTGTGTGTGTGTGTGTGTGTGTGTGTGTGTGTGTGTGTGTGTGTGTGTGTGTGTGTGTGTGTGTGTGTGTGTGTGCGTGTGCGTGTGCATGTGTGTGTGTGTGTGCGTGTGTGTGTTTTTTTTTTGGAGAGGGGGGGGCTAATACGGCTTTCCGATTATCACAGAACGCTATGACAAGTCTCCCGTCTGCCGGAATGGCTTGCCGGAATATCGTGTCCTACTTCGTGACGAGCGGTCTTATTTTGGTCAGTCCTCGAACGTCGGTGCATTTATCATGATGCAGGGGCGTAAACCTCGGCGTCTTGAAGCACCACCTCGCGCACCAAGTTTTCGCGAGCAAAACCAGTCACGGCGAATTCCCTTTCGCAACACGACCACCAGCAAGCAAGCCATGACTACAACGAGCATTCGAGGGATGCGAACTGCAGGAACTGCGGCAACGGAGGTTACAAGCGGGGAGGAGGAAAAGTTTGTCCCCGAGAGATGGTCCTCGGTGGGACTGCTTGCGGTGCTTCAAGTTCAAGGACAAACAACACCCTGTCCGTCGTCGATCGTTTGTCTTCGCTCGTCGGCGTTTGTCGTGGGTGTTGATCGTTACAGTGGAACAGAATCAGCGCCGGGCAAAAATCGGTGTTTCTCGCTGTAGTGGGACGAGGCTATAACCAGCTCGCCTGAAAACTTTTGCACTCTGGGCTAGTTGGTAGTTTGTACCTTTGTAAGCGGTCGTCGCCACCTTTAAGAACAAAACTTCCTGCATGGAAGAATAAAATAATTTCTTCTCTCGCCGCGCCATTCCAAGGTGTTAACATTTTAAGCACAACTAATTCTGGGTTTCACTCACCTGTAGACCACGTGACTGAGTAGGAAAGCAAATTACGAAGGCCACTCTATCCTTAAAGGGGCCCTGCAACGGCGTTTAGACTGGTTTTGGATTTGCACCAAAGCTGAGGGCACTGAACGTAGTATCTCAATTAAACCATTCTTTTCTTGAATTTCGCTTTATCTTAAAAGTTATAGGCAAATTAATATTCCAGAAAAAGCAAAAAATAACCTCCTTCATGACGTGCTTAGTCCTGGCTTGAGTGGCCGTTAAATAGAAAAGGGGTAGTGAGCTCAGTGAGCGCTCACGGCTGCCGCACTCCGTGTCAACGCTCGAGGGGGCGCCACTAAAGCATGTGCTGGATAAGCTGGATGAAGCGGTCGGCCAGGGCGGCTCGCAGTGCATTGGCTGCACGATTAAACACTAATTCAGCATGACCTTTCATTGCCACACAAACGACAGCAAACACGGGGCAAAGATTAGAACGGGAGACACTTCGCAGTCCCATACCGCCAAACGGCCAAACCGCAAGCAAAACCAGCTCGCCGAAGGCCTTCGGAAGCAGTCACCCTCGAGCCCATACGACCGCAGCGCTGCCGCGTACATCCGGGGCCTTTCTACGCGGGCCGCTCGTCGGTGCCTGATCCCACTACCCCTTTCTAGTATGCGCCGCCTATTCCACCTCTTTGTAGCAAGCCGTGCCTTATTCGTCTTACTAATACACTCTGCTGTTTGACGTTACGGGGGACGACAGCGGGCGCTAGAAGCTATCTGGGCCAATCCAGCGTTGTTAACCATTCATGTGACCGCGCGTCGCCGCGCACCTTTCGAATGTCATGTGACACTCACTTGACATTGGATTGGCTTCGTTAGTCTTTAGCGTCCTCTGCGGTCCGTCATCTCTTCCTCTTTCTTTCTTTCGGTTTGTCTTTGTACAAGTGTTCCTATTTTTATGGGACTCGCATTAACTCGGATACTAACAAGCCTTCATAAAGGGAACAAAAGATTTAATCATTTCGTTTCAAGCAGAAAAAAAGCTGTGGCTTCCTACGTTGCAACACGCCTGTTTGCAGCTTCTTCCGAGCCCTTTTGTGTGTGTGCACTCGGGCCTGCGTGCTTGTGTGTGTGTTTATGTGATGTGTGTGCGTGTGGGGGGGGGGGGGGGAGGGAGAGGGATCTTTAAGATATATATTATTGACGCCGGATGTGCATTCTTTTCAGATATTCATGTCGAAAATTATTACCTCAGATAATGCAACATTTATCCCATTTCGGTACATTTTAAAGACCTTTCCAGAGCTTGTCACCCAACGAAAAAAAAGATGCGGAGTCACTGAGCTTCCAAAGCATGGGCAGCCTCTGATATTCGTTAGAAGAAATCTATTGTTCATGCTGAAAACGCCTTCCACAGCCCAGTATACAATAATGGCATCATGCATGCAGAAGACGCGATTTGTTGGAATTGCCCACTAGCATTGTACTGATAATCGAATGACTTTTGTTGAGTGAGGCATTTTTCGCCAGTGTAATAATATAATGTTACGAGCGAATTGGACGGCGTTCTGGCTGGTTACGCAAAATTTCTTGTCACCCGTGGTTTTAACACTTTACATGTTTACTTATTGTGCCTTTTTTTTTGCGGGGGGGGGGGGGGGGTGGAAGTTAAAGGGGTTCCAGCATTTTCTAGGGATTTTAGCTCATATAATGCAGTTTTTTTGTGAGTACGAGTATTTGTAAAGGAAAGGCAATATTCTAATTTCTGTCTACCTCTGCGCCTTCAGAAACCCAGTACAATATTTTTTTTTTCATTGCCGTTTATCTCTTTTTTTCCTACAGAACTCGGACACTACATTTGGCAGAAAGTATGCTTAAGCCTAGAAATGAAGTCAAGTGTTCACGCTATGTTCACTTTAGCGTTGCAAAGTTGATTTCTAGGCTGATGTTTTTTATGTGGTAATATGCCAAACTCCCTAAGTAGGCTGCGGGGGTTGTCTCTCGCAGAACTGTGAGAATCTCTCACAGAACTGTGAGAAAGTGGAAACTTACGGGTTTTAACTTTAAGTGTATAATGTTTGTGAAACTCGGAATCAATAAAGATAACTAAATTATGAATCATGATCTTGTCTTGGATGTTCCCATACGTAACTAATGAATTAAAGATCGCCATTTTTTATGCTAGACATCAGTCAGTGGAGTTTATTTATTACACGTTTAAAATATCAGCACGCTATTATTTAAGCAATTACTCCTTTGTCCAGAAGTGGTTAAAAAAAAACTTTTTTTCTCGCTTTGTTCTTAAGAATACTTCCAGAATCTCCGCGCTGGCTCCTGTCCCAGAACCGAATGAGCGATGCAATCGTCATCCTGAAACGGATTGCAAAAAGAAATGGTGTCGAACCACCGGAGAATCTGGCGTCTGACCTCGTGGTAAGTCCAGTTAAAAAAAAAAAAAAGAAAAAAAAGCCTGTCTTCCTTCAACTTAGATCTCAATGTTATTAGGGACCGCATTACGTCCAACACGTTGTCAATAGGGAGTTCTCGCTGACCGCTTACGTCGTCCCGCAGTGCCCTTCACCGGCCGCCAGGAAATCCAGAAATCCGCAAACAAAGCTAGCAGCGCGCAGCCTCAGTAGCGGCGTTATCGAGGAGGAGAAGGAGAAAAGCGGTTACGAAATGTTCCTAATGACGTTAGTAAAAATACAGCTGCAGACGTTCCGTTTCGGAGCATAGCGCGTCAGCGCAGCAGGTAGCGTCAGTCTAAACAAAATACAATAAGCATCTCTTCAACGGACGAAATCATAAGCTCAAGTGACAAAGGGTTTAAGTCGTAAACTTCTTATTCTACGCTCGTGCCATTCAATATAAAAATGTTACAGCAATACGATCACACGTGTTGACATTTAAGGGGCAGTGCAACGATTTTAGTGTTCGAATAATTGACAGTTTGTATTTTTTATACTTTTTACCCGAGGACAGCTGACCAAAAACGCATCAGTTTGCTGGTAAAAACTGCTATTTTGGTGCGTAATCGTAAAGAAGAAAGCGAAATATTTGCCGATCTGCAGCCGCTTTTGGTGGTTAACGGAACTGGTGTGTGATGTACTCTTGGGGATGCGCGGAAGTGAACAAAACCTGTCCCCCCCAGCTGCTACACTCGCCCTCACCCCTGTGGCAAACCGTCTTTTATGTCGATTTCAGTGATGTGATTGGCCTAAGCCATTTTGGAGCACCTTTTGGAGCTGCCAAAACAGTGTTTTGGAGCAGCAAATGTGGCCTTTGGAGCAGCCAAAAGAGTGTTTCGGAGCTAAAAAAGTGACTTTTGGAGCATATATTCTTAGAAAAATAAATATTTGTTTTAAGTGCTGGACAAACGAAGGGCACTATGTGTTGTGTTGTGATGTGACGTGTTGGGGCAGAACTCGCTGCTTGTGTTTTTGTTGCTGAGACATCCCACAAGTATACAGTGCTGTAAGCGTTGCCGAGCAATTCCGAAAAAAAACAACACTCGCTATTGTTTTACTGCTTCCCGACGTGGCAGATTTTTATAAAAAGTAAGCAAATGTAAAACAATGAATTGCAACCGTCCCGGCTGGTGCCTCTCGTGCAATCATGTTCACATGCACGTGAAGGCAACTTCGGCAGGCTTGCAGTTACACGTGGTTCGTCGCGCGAGCGGAGACAACGGCTGTTCGACCGAAACCGAAACCATGCCACTCCGCTCCGTCGCCAACTGGTTCCCAAAATAGTATGCAAAATGTAACTGTCCAGCATACTACAATAAACAGTCCAGCGGCGCCTGCTTGCCAGGCCGGCAGGCGAGGTACAGGCTATACACACAGAAAAAAAAAAACCTGAGCGTATCGATGCAAGACATTGCGAATCAGGGTCAAAAAGTTCTTGGGCCGCTTTGTGCAACGACTGAACTCGAAACAAACAAGCGCGGTGTGCGGGTTCAGCGTGCAGACATTGCCTTCTTTGCTTTAGCTCACTTCTCGTCGTCAACTTTTTTCGCGGCAGATTTTTCACGTACCGGGGTCCCTCTCGAAAGAAAGCTTATCGAGAGAAACCTAGGTAATCAAAACTTCGCCAAGCAGTCATTGAGTTAAAGAGGGATTTTTATAGCAGCGTATGATTTAAACAAGAGCAGGAATGTCGATGCGTTTCAGTTTAAAAAGCGCCATATCTGCAGCGACCTGGGGACGGCAACACACGACGTCGCGCAACCACGGCTACTGTGGTCGCGCGAGCGCTTCAGCCAACGTTACTAAAACACTCAGTTGGGAAACTCGCCGTCGAAACCTGGGCCGCTGGCGTCCACCGAGACCGAGCTAAATGCGGCAACAGCGCCACTCGTTTTCGTTTGTCTGTACTGTGGTCACCTTAAGCTTTTTGAAAGCCTGTTTTCGCGTAAAAACAAACGGAAAAGACTCTTTTCGTATGAAATTTATTGGAGTTTAGTACCAAATGATGGGCGCGTAATGTTTTTATCATCTTTAGTTCCCAAGGTTTTGCGGAACAATTAATATTGTTTTCATACAACCATGCCTCAGCGGGCCTTTCAGGTAGCACGTCCTGACCTAGGTACATTTTAACGTCGGTAGTTGGACGCGGCGCGTCCGCCGGGGAGGAGGGGGTGGCACCCCTGTAACCTCTGCCGCTGTATCTGTTTTTAAAGCCATAATAGTAAGTCACGTGCAGTTCCTCGAGAGGCCGCTGCGGGAGAAATGGTGGCGTTGTGTTCGTCATTAGCTCGGTGCTCGGAGACAGATTGGGGTCACTTTTTCAAAGCTGTCTCTATGGGAGTTTCTCAACTGAGTGTTTTAGTAACGTTGGCTTGAGCTCACAAAGTAACCCGCCGCGCAAGGAACTATCGCCGCGCGGCGTGTCTGGCACTTGGCACACTAACATCGGAGCGTCCGCAGAGGCCCGCGTCCATCGCTAAAAAAATTTAAAAAAAAAAAACTAAGAAAGACGCCAGACGAGATTCCCGAGACGACGAGAGCGCGAAACGCGAGACGACGGGAAAAATCATGCAAGACCGAATAGACGATTGATGCAGGGTACTTTGTGTCCGGCGGCGTCTTTTGTGCCACCAAGCTCTAGCATGCTCAATTACGGTTCTCAGTTTAGTTTCGTTTTTGAAAGGCGACCAAAATTGGCCGTTTGGCGCAGGCTTGGCGCAGATTAGCCACATTTTGGCGAAATGTAGCAGGATGTAGCAGGGTTAGCCCCTTGGCGAAGTTTGGCGCAATTGGCGCCGCAATCACATCACTGCGATTGCTCCCAGCGACCTTCGACGATGCTAATCCTTTAAAAGTCAACAATAGCGGAAAAAGCGGCTGGGATCTCTGAAGAGAGAACTCCAGGGGAAACTACGTGATCCCCAAGAGTGCGTCCCTCGAAAAGCGACGTGGAAGGTTGAGAAGCACTTTGACCTTCGATTTGTTTGGATTTTTTTTTTTCTTACATAAAAAGTAGGGCTTACAAGAAAATAGGGTTTTCTGTTCTTTGTTCCATGGGTGACATATTAATTTCCGCAGTTAATTGGCCCAAGTCTGAAAATCGTTGTACCGCCCCTTTAAATGCTGGATAATGATCGGTTAACATTCCGCTTTGACAGTTAGAGTTTTAATTAATGTTTTAACTGCCATCTGGTGGTAAGTGGTATAGCCACATGCCTTTTCGCCCCGGAAATCACGTGACGCGTGGCGTTTCCGGTCTTCCAGCTACTAGTTTCTTGACTTAGAAGCCGTTATTAGCCTGACCGTTGCTACCTACGGTTGCCGGGTACCTACTAATATAAGTGACAAGCAGTTTCTAGCTCTTACCTAGTAAATACTATTAGTTTTTTTAGTTTTTTTTAAGAGTGTAGTGCGCCAGGTGGCAATAGTGCTTGAGGAAGAACCGTTCTTCACGGGTTGAAAGAGTTCTTGTGACGTCGAAGAACCGTTCTAAAACGGATTTTTGGGGAGAATAAGCTTGCAGAAATAAAGCTTTATACTAACGCACTCCTACCCAAAGTCTTAAGTTTTTTTTTGTTTTCTTTTTCTGCGGCGGAGGGCTTTGCTTGTTGGTGTTTGCTACTCTTTAGAAAGGGGGCTAAAGTAAAGGAGCGGAGGGGGAGAGTGCAACGGAGTGTTACCGCGCCTCCTACTCCGAAATATACCGTCTTAAGTTTCTATCGTACGAGTACGCAGCTCCACAAACCGGGGTTTAACACGGGTGTTCCTTTACACAAAAAGCTGCGCTAACGTGATTTCTCACATTTAAGATGTTTCTTGACCGATTCGGCGCGGTTCAGCAGTATAGGTTAGCTTGCAGGCCTCTTGACATTCTTGCCTATTTTATGAAATTAAGCATATGGCGCAATCACTAGATAGCAATCTTAATTTTGAGCTCACATCACCTAGAACAGGAAAAATACTACGCTGAGCCCGTGTAGCGAACCTGCGACCCGCCAGAGGCAGCGGTAAGAAACTTAGCAGTTCCGTCATTTAAAACTAAACATAGCCGTCAGGGGTTCAAGTGTAGCCTCATCCAATTTTGAATAACACTTTCATTATGCAACACCGTTAGTTATGACACTCTAAATCATGTGTGAACGACGCCCTTTATTCAGTACGCTGGAGACATTGAGAGATTAGCAAACGCCGGTCGTGACTAAACATGTTCATATTAATCGCTGCGTGATTCGTACTTGGTATGTTCTTATCGCTTGATACCGCTATCTTGTTAACTACAAGACAATAGTAGAGAGCGTAGATCGATCCGACAACTCCTCCAACGATCCCCGTAACTATGCGATGCACGCGCAAAGGCGCGGGTGGTGTATAGGGTATACGCGGCGTGCAAGTTTGTCTGCTACTTGCGCACCACATGCATTTGTTTAATCCTCAAATGCGCCCCCGTGCGTTTCTATATAGCCCCGACTTCAACCATAGCCTTCTGTACACTGACAAAGCCCGGCAGATCGCCACGAGACGCAGCCGCCAAAAGTGAAAAGGTAGAGCGCCAGACAAGAGGCACGCAACGGGCGCCCCGCTGCGGCGAGACGCCTAAACACGCTTATCCCGAGCGATTGATTGCCCGCTCGTGCTTCTCGCGTCCTCGGGTTACCGCTTCTTTTCTTGTCGGGTTTTAAAATCATGACTCGAGTCTTCGCTGCTGAAACAAATCTCGGCGCTGACAGCAGGCTCCCCGAGAAATGCTCTGTGCCACCAGATCCTCGCGCTCCAAATCTGCGACCGGGCACTCTATGGCTCCGTCATCGAACTGCCAGGCTCCGTGAGCATAGAGGAGGTTATGGTTCAACCCATGACGGCACGAGCTTCGCTGGCTCGTCATCGCAAAATCTCTACGCGTTTTTTTTTTTTTATTTCTTTTTTACGTTTTTTGATTGGTTTGTTTTTCTTTAAGTTTTGATGAGCCAAAGACAAAGTTTAGAACACTTGCTCGCCGTATGTCGTTATTGGAAATATCGGTCACGATCTACCAAAACTTCCTATTGAGATAATAGAGAGTTTTAGGGAACCGTTTCTGCACATCCGATACGGTACGATGGGCCCTCCGGTACGAACTGCGCATGCGCCTGTCTTCTGCGACCTTACCGTAATGCGCTGTTGGAACCGTAAGGCACGACCGGCACGACCAATGGCCGACATGGACAGTCTCCTTCGTTAGCAAAATGGCTATTTCGCTGGCGGAGAGAGCGTGCCGTGGCTCCAAACATGAATAAAATAACTCGTGGCAGTGCCTAGCAGGAGCGCGATGTGTGACAGCAAGTCCATAAAGTTTGAGTCAGCAAAAAAGAAAAAGAATAAAGAACAGAGCGCAATAGGACTTTTTTAATCTCAATAAATTGGTGTTTAGCGCAGCCAAAAATCGTCTGCTCGGTAGCTCAGTGGATTGGAGCGCCGATTTCTTGAGCTGTAGAGGACCGGTAGTGGAGAGTTGGAATCCCGCTGGCCCAGAACAATTTTTTTTTTTTACATATTATATGTTTTTTTTTTTATACAAACATTGGATGTGCATTTTGAGCACTTATCACCCGTTTTTTACAGCTGCTGTTATGACAGGATTATCTGTAGTGGCAACAGAGTGTGCAACAGCCTTCTGCTTTAAGGCTCTGGATACTTTTTAGTTTAAAAATGTTGCATGAATTAAAAATTTCTGTACAAATGCTAATCACATATATCCTATAAAACGAGCCCTTTGAATATTTGGTGATAGTTTTAATAAGTGTACAGCAGTAAAGTTACAGGTTTTCCTTTATATTTTCTTCGTGGTCGTACCGTACACGGCGCAACGATCGGTCCGCGTGCGTACGACCGTGATCGTCTGCTACCTGTACCGTAAGAGAGCAACATGAGCGCCGCATCTACCTCCGTCCCTCCGCCTCCTCCTCGCAAGAGATTTACAGTAGTAGACAACATCTTTCTACTTCAGGAGCTGCTAGGCGCTACTCCTTTTTCGCTCCAGCACTTTGGAATGACGCAGCGTTGAAAAAGAACTTATCGTTGCGAGGAGCGAAGGAACGGATTGACCTCCTCGTAAATAAAAATAGAGATTTAAGACATACTGAAAGATACGTCATTTCAAAAATATACACACTGTATGGAAAGTAACGAATTCCCAGAGTCCCTTATGAATATAGAATCCACTAGGGTACTAAAAAGGAAACTAAGGAATTGGTGTCAAGCATTTGAGCTGTAGATATCGTAGCCTAACCGTTGGAGATATTTCGTGCTTTTATTTCATGGTTGCGTGAGTAGACTTGGCTATAAACACCTATATTTCATGCTCTAAAGTGTTCCTTTTTGTATTTATTTGTGCTGCTAATTTTGTGTTCCTTTCATTTTTTTTTTTTTTTTTTGTGCTGCTGAGTGTTTTTTTTTTTTTTTGTAACAACATGTATTGTAGTTGGTCGCCTGATCCCACATACAAGCAGAATGCTGCTTTTGTGGGCCAGCTCTTTATTTCGTATGACTTGATCTTAAAATAAAAATTGAATTAAATTGAAAATTGAATTAAAAATTGAATTGAATTAGCTTTGTACAAGAAAAATGACCGCATCAACTTGAGAAAGTGAGTATATTTTGGTTATTTTTGAATTTTCTTCGAGATTTAATATTTCTAGTTTTATTTCTCCATAGCTTTCTTAATACTCGATCCTGCATTGGGCCTCGAGGGAAAAAGACAGGATCGCTAGCAGACGACTTCGAATGTTGATGATAAGCGCGCGCGAGCGTGTTCTTGTGCCAAATCGAGTTTGCTTTCGGCAACGTTTCAGCATATCAGGACGTGGTTGGTGTAAACATCATATTTGTTGATGTAAAACACCGAAGTTTGCCCGCTGAGAACGCATGATGTATTTGAAAACAAGTTACCATGTACGGTCGAGGCATTATTTTATTCCCCAAGTATATAAATCTGGTAAACTGAAAGAAAAAAAAACCAAAATACGCTGGCACTTCATTCGTGGTATCCGCACATCATTCCTGGTATCACAACTTTTTTCTTTACTCAAAAGCTACGCCAAGTTGAACGTTCTATGCCTTGCCGCCAACAAGCGCCTTCTCTTAGTGTATCGGTGCTCGGTGGCACCCGAAAGAAATGCGACTGACTCCGTGTCACGGCAAACCAAAAAGAATGTTTATTCACTCGTGCCCCTGCACAAGTCACGGGCCCCACGGCACGCGCGTGCGTGCCTCGCTTATAGAAAGCGGGAAGTTCAAAAGAGACTCACGCCACACTTAGTGCGCAGACAGTCGTACAAAATCACTTTTTCTAAATTGCTTTCGCTGAATAGAGCCAACTCCAAGTCATGGTCAAAAAGATCGAGCGCCATTGTTGTCGGAAAGCTCGTCTGCTTCTTTAGCAGACGAACATTTTAGAACTTCGCCGTGCTAGGGGCGACACGCCGCGGTGCGCCAGTTTTTGTATTACGGAAGCGCATTCATTCCAGTAAAAAAATGAGACGAACTATAAGTAGGTATACTATTTTTTTGGTTCTCTATATATTTAGGGTGCGATCTTTATTTACTTGAGTTTCTGCGAGTTGTACAAACAAACGCAAATTTGTCTTTTCTCGATGAGGCGGATGCAGGTTTCCGTTGCCAGGGGGCGCGACCTGTACCGATCGACTGCTATCGTCTGCGAATACGGTTCCCCCAAAGCCGTTTCAGGGCACACGATCGGTCCACACGCCCGATCCAAGGTATCGATCGTTTTTGTTTATCGATCGTATTTTGTTCCGGTTCCCTAAAACTCTCTAATAAAGGAGCGACATTAAAATGCTCACGAATCGTTTCGCACGGCGTTTCTTGAGTCGGTAGTAACTAACGCACAGTCGAAATTCATCCTTTTTACCAATGTTGAAAATATTTTACTCTAATTATCTTTCTTTTCTTATTGCCTAAAACTGTATACTATAAATCAGGCTTGGCATTCGCGAATATTTATATTTTGTTGGCGATTTCTTTTTACGTGATTTTATAGAAAAATTGTGACCAGTTGAAGCGATAACCTAATGTGGCCCCCTGTTTTGAAAGAAAGTGCAGAGGGAGCTGGCTCAAGAGACCGAGGCAGAAACGGCGTCGTCACGTGACTTGTTCACCAAGCCCGAGATCCGCAAGAATCTGCTCATCATTACTCTGTGCTGGTGAGAGCATGTTGAAGGCACAGTATCGACCTACCTACGCCTCGATGCTTCTATTCACCTCACAAAAACCAACGAGACGCATGAAGAATGTTTCGTCAGCTTTTGCTCTTGGAGCTGTTTGTGAGCGTGTGTCTGTGCTGGGGGAGCGGGGAGTTTACATCCCAACCATTTATTCTCCCTTTCATTTTATACACTTAACAATAAACACATAACAGTTCTATTGATGTAACGCTATACCTTACAAAAAATCTGTAAACCTCACACCCTTAAAAAATGTGAGACTTTTCTAACACCTTGACTAAAAATGTAATACTGCAGTACACCTCCTTATAAAAGTGTAAATTCACAGTACACCTTCTGCTAAAAGTGTAATTTTCATAGTACAAATTTTGTTAAAAAATGCACTCCGTCCCGGAATCCTATGAAATGACTGAAAAAAAGAGAAATTTACGCAAACGAATCGACCCAAGTAGCACGGCGATCCTTGGCCAGTGCCGTGGTAATATCGGCCCACCGGTTTTGCAGCACGTCCCGACATTCGGCAGGTATACTGGCGTACCGCCGTTTCGCGACCGGTCTTGTAACGGCGGTATACCGTGCGAGCACTGCCCAGGTCGCTATGCCGGTCAGATATTGGCCTGGGGCGGTTTGCTCATCTTGCGGCCGCGGCTGCGGCCAAAAGGGATTTTTATGTCACGTGACAAGCTCCATGGGGACAAGGAAGTACCTAGCGCCCCTGCCTAATGGCAGAGAAGTCCGTGCCACTTCGAGTACAAAAGTCTAATTTCGCTCGCATGCAGAAACTGACTGCAGAGGCTTTAAACTGAAGTGCAATTAACCGCCCCACCGTATTTTAGGAGCGGCAGGTAAAGTTACGGCCAGGGAAGTTAAATATAAGCCAAAATAAAGGGAAAATAGAGCCAGATACAATCGATGCAAGTATATTGATATCCCTGCGCTAGCGCCGCATATTCGAGGTTTCTTCCTGTAGTCGAGGGGTAACAGCTCCGGGGACCCGCGTCGTGGCGCGAAAGTTTTGGGTCCAAATCGCTCCAAAAGTTTTACTTTTTTTGCGTGTTTGTGTGTTTTTTTAAATCTTGTTCATTTTTTTAATTGACACGACTGCAGTGTGTATTAGCACCAAAAAGGCGCGTCCTGTTATCGAAAAAAGGTATAGAAAGCGCGTTTTATATTTAAAAACATAAAATTGTAGTTGCTGGGGAAAGGATGGTTGTATCGGCCCCGTTTGAGTGAAAGTCATACTGATGCTGTAATCTTGGTGTTCTTTTAATGAACATTATGAAACGTTCTTAATTGCGCGTTAACTTGGCTTGATCTTGGTTTCCTTTTAATGATTGAAACGATTGTATTAGCGCGTTGACTTGGCTTTACCATTTTTTTTCTTCCGGTTTGTCGGTCCAACAGCTGGGGCAAACAGTAAAACCGTGTAAGGCGCAGTAGTCCTCGTGAATGATTTGTAAAAAAAGATCACACTTAAAAAATAAAACACGCGCGGAATGAAAAAAGAAGCGTCCGCGGAGATTTGAACCCGGAACTTTCACGCCCTGACGACAAGTCCCGGTGCTCTAACCGCTCCACTACAGCAGAATTTTTTTTTTATTTATTTATGACATAAAAATGGAGGATGTTGTTCCGGTGCTAGCGCAGATATATAATTACACAACCACCGCTTTCGTTTTGCATGATTTTTCCTTTATTTTGGCTCATATTTACCTTCCCTGGCCGTAACTTCACCTGCCGCTCCTAAGGTATGTACGGGGCGGTTAATTGCACTTCAGTTTAAAGCCTCTGCAGTCACTTTCTGCGAACGAAATTAGACTTCTGTACTCGAAGCGACACGGATTTCTCAGCTCTTAGGCAATAAAGCTATGTACTTCTTGTCCCCATGGAGCTGGCCACATGAAATAAACATCCCTCGTGCCCGCAGCCACGGCCGCGGCCGCAAGATGAGCAAACCACCCCAGATGTTACATATGCGTCTGCTCTGTATCGGCCGGACGTCGCCTATGCTCTCCCTTTGTATCGGCAACATCGGCAGTATTGGCTTGCGCGTTAAGTGCAGATATCGGGCTCGCCTAGCACGCACACATGGGCAAACGGGATTGTTTTCAATCTCCCACAAAAGTTTATTAACACCCTATCATCACACACAGCTTGTTCTCGGCATATTTAGAAAAGTGATACTTCTCCGTGGAATGGAAAACCAATTATTAAATAGAATTACACTTCTTCGTTGCCAAGCGAAGTTCATAAATCAAACACGAAGGACCGTGCATATTAGATAGTTTTAATAGATCGTTCCTGTGGATCCGATAACGATACCCGATACTTCGCAACCGCCTTCGCGCATATATTGTATCGTCATTGGGGATATGGAAGACATCGGAACGATATACTAAAACTTTTTATTCAGACGGAAGCAGGACTACTATCAGAATCATGATTGCCGTGTACTTGAGAATAAAAAAGCAATATCACGTGGTTCGTGATAGATCATAATCCGACTGCGGCAGCACGAAGCAACGCCAATATAAATTCCAGAAAGAAGAAGGATTCCCACATTCAACGAAATTCTCGTTGTTGCGGATGAGAAGTTTGTTGTCGAAACGGGTCCAACGAGCAGAGCAGAATATTTCCATGGAGTCCGACAAAGAAAAGGTGCGTTACTGAAAAGTAGGCACAGGCGTATTCCGGACGTTCACGACAAAAATACCACGGCCGCAACTGCAACGCACGAAAAGCAGAACATTGAAGAGCGCATTTCGGAAAGCGCGGAGTTACGCAGCCCCTTACACATCACCACAACTTGGCGTATACGGCAAAGAGTACGGCCCCAGTAAGCCCATCAGCGTGTCAGGGCGAGTCACGTGACAACTTTTTGTCCAAGCGTTTTCCCTACGGGGAGCTTTCACGTGTTTTGCTCCACCACTTTGATTTTATTGAAGCGGTTTCCGCGCTCCCTCACACCCGCGCGAAAACACAGAAGACGGTGGGAAGGCTTAACACAAGGCGAGGTCGAAGAGAGATAGTCAATGCAGCTGAGCTCCCTCTGCGTGTTTTGTCTCTCATTCTCGGGCTAAAAGTAAAGGTGCGTTCACATCGGCGATGCGATCTAGTCGCGCAATAACTTTCGTCGCAAAAGTGATCATCGCAGAAAAAAAGTGACGCGATTCGAACAGTCGCTAGCTGACCCGACTTTTTGCGATGCGATCTAGTCGCGGAGTGGATCAACCAATCAGCGGCGTTCGGAGCGAGAGTTCTCGAGAAGCGACTCGGATATCGGGCACGCCCGTGTGACCATCTGATTTTTTGCGATGTGATCTAATCTAGTCACATCGCGCGAGTGCTTTTACATCGCCTGTGCGAAAGCGGCTCAACCAATTCCTGTTTGCTTTTTTTTAACCTCGGTTATGAGTTGGTCATGAAATCCGAATACCTGGCCAGCATAGCTGATTAACAAACGAATCTTCCCCATACTCAACGGAAAAAGGTGGCGGGTACAGTATGTCAGGATAGGGTCGGCGCAATCCATCCGATACCTCAAGGATATCGGCTAGATTAAAATGGTATCGGCATAATTTTTCCTATATTACGCTAATATCGGCGCCATACTGGTGCTGCCTGGATGCCAACACTTCTGTGAAGGTTTTGTGGGGTTCTGAAGGATTGATTGCTACGATGTTGGAACCTTGAGCACGATCAAGGAACGGTATGAATTGTGAGATAGCGCTAATGTCATCTTTACGTATCAATTTGAGACGATCGTGGCAAACCTTGGCTAACACGATAGAAAGGGGGGAATAAGAAATCGTGGGCGTATTCGATAGTATCGCCATTACACCTTAACACGGTGTGCATTAAAGGTGTAATGAAGAGGACGTACACCCTTTAAACGTGATTTTGCCAGCTGGAGGGCGCAGGAAAGGAGTAGGAAGGGTGTAAATGACCATGGCACTCTTTTTACAACTGCATACTCTCGAAAAGCGTGTAAAAACTTATGTAAAAAGGATTGTTCGTTCCGAAACACATCCTCTTTACACCATTATAGGTGTGAAAATGTTTAGCGGTGCACCCCAATTGGGGAGGGGGGGGGGGGAAGGGGGGGACGCAGCGAACCGTCAGAGCCAATCCGCCAATCCAACTCTAGGCGAGTGTAAAGTGATTTTCGGAGGGGCGCAGAGAGACTCGGGGGTATAGGATAGCCACGTGCTCCGTGCGCATCGCTGGGTGTGCCGAGACGCCTCGTAGCGCTCGCTGCCATTCGTGGAAAGGTTAAAGGGAGTGTATTGCCATTCCGATGCTTCGCCAAAGTCAGTGTTCCAAATTGTTGTTATTTTTATTTCTCGTCCTTTCGAGGTAGACAAGAAAATACCTTGGAAAGTTTGCCTCCACCTGTAAAGTACGAATACCCGTACGCCTGCCGTCAACAAGTGTCGTGGTGTTTTCGTTTACTGCGCTTCTGTTAAATGCATTGATCATAAAAGCATGAAATGCTATTTCATTAACGCTACCCTCAATCCCAAAATGCTGTCCGTCGGTCCGTCCGTCCGTCCGTCCGTCCGTCCGTTCGTCCGTGCATTTTCCCGCTAAATTTAGAGGAGAAAGTGGCGTCACGTGTCTTATACACTTGAGGAAATTGACGAAGCGTGACCCATACATCAACTCAGTTTCCCCGCAAAATTTAGAGGAGAAAGTGGCGTCACGTGTCTTATACACTTGAGGGAATTGACGAAGCGTGACCCATACATCAACTCAGTTTCCCCGCAAAATTTAGCGGGAAAATATGACACCTGACAAACTAATTCCTTAAATTGTAGTTCATGTATTATAAGACTTCAAAGGAATATGTTGCTGCCACTTCTTTTTTTTCTTGCATGGTATTGTGTAGTTACAGGCGCCCATGCAATTGCGGGCCGCCTATCTGTCGTTGTATCTAAACAAAAATAAACTTATCGCTGAGTGGTTGGTTGATACAACTA